GCCCTCGCTGAGGAACGGCCGCTGCCCGAACACGCTCGCCGGGGCTCTCCGCTCCCTCTCAAACGCGTTTGCCGCCGGCTCCGGCGCTGTCTCCGTGGCTATGGTCATCCAGCCGTTCTCCCCTGCGCTAGGGAGCTCTTCCTCGTTGCTATCCCCTTCTTCCCTGGCAGTGTTCTCAGCAGCTTGTTGGGTTGAAGCTCCCTTCTCCCCTGCGTTTCCCGATGCAAAAATGGGTGCCCAAACCGCCGGCGTGCTGCTCTTCCTCCTCCCCAGGGACCCCGCGGACACAGGGCTCAACACGTCTTCTATCACCGTGGCCTCCTGGGTCGTGCTCACCAGGTTCGCCCCCACGTCCAAACCGGAGTAAGGGGCCCAGGAGCGCAGGCTTGGGGGCACTTCCCTGATAACCGAGGCCTTTCCAAACGCCTCGCTCCCGTCCTCGCCAGCCGGGGCGCCCGGCCTCTCCGTGGCGCTGGCATCGTCAAGGAAAGCCAAGGGCTCCAACGTGGGCTCCTTTCTTGCCTCCGGCTTGAGCCGGCTGCTGGCGAAGGCATCGAAAGTGTCGTCCCACTCGGAGCGGGCAGCGGGAGCAGCGGGATCCTCGTCCGGAGCAGCCAGCTCTCCTTGTGCCGGCGGAGTTGTTTCTGGAACGGGGACGCCGACGCTTTGGGCTGCAGGCTCCCTCTCCGGGTCTGCAACGCTTAGGGAGGCAGAGGGATCCTCAGCGGAATAAAAGCTCCCAGCGACCTCGGTTGAAGCATGCGGCCCAGGCGGGAAACTAGAGAAAAAGTGAGCAGGTGAAGGAGAATTTAGTAGCTGCTCAGCGAGGAGGTCCTCCAAGAAGGGATTGCTCTGCAGGGAGCTGAGGAAGGGGTTGGTAGGGGACAAGCATCCGGAGGGACTTTCTGCGGGAGCGGCAGCGGGGTTAGCGCCAAGCAAGCGAGCGGGAGGGCCGCGGGCCGGGGAGCGGGAAGCAGCGCGGGAAGGGCCCTCGGAGCTGGTTTCTGCCTGAGGAGACACTTGCAGGCTGTGGAGGGAAGACAGAACAGCCCTCCTGGTTAGCGCTGCTGCACAGGCCGGCCCCGCGCGCCGGCCGCCCCGACGCTCCTGCTGGGCACGGAGCAACGCGGGGAGAGGAAAGGGAAAGGGCAGCCCCTGGTTTGGAGCGGGCGTCTGAATTCCCACCCCGGCTTGCTTAGGCAGGCCCTAAAACTCGGGAGCGGGAGAGGTTCATCCCGCCTCCCGCGGGCTCAGCTGGTCCTGGTGCATCCCGAGGGCACTCGCGGAGCCTGGACAAGCCCTCGGTGAGGCCAGGAGGGACCCACAGGAGCTGAACCCTTCCCGGTTACTCCGGTGCCTCCTACCCTGTGTGGTCAAGCAGCAGGAGCCTCCGGTGCTCCCAGGAGCAAGGAGCGGGATGGCGCCCGCAGGCAGCATCTCCTGCTGCCAGGGAACAACTGGATGGGGAAAACAGGTTTCCAGCAGGACTCGGCCTGCTCGGAGCGCCAGGCTGCCCTGGCCAGGACCTGCGTGCAGGACTCCCCTTTGTCAAGATCCACTTCCGACCCGGCCACCGGAGACCCGGGAAACGTCCCCCGCCACACCCCTTGTTAAGGGGCCACCGGAGCTGGAAAGCCGGAGCCAGGAGCCCACGCACGAGACGGCACCCGCTGCCACCCGCCTGGCGCGGGGACGGATTGGGGCGACGAGGGGGTCCCTGACGGGCACTGACCTGCAGCGAAACCGGCCCCGGGTCGGTGCTGCCGGTGCCACTCAGCGACCAAACGGGAGCCCGGGCAGCTCGTGGGTGCCCCCTCCTGCCGCCGCGAGGCCGCGGGGACGGCCGCAGCACAGGGAGACCTGGACCTGTGGGAAGCCCTGGGAGAAGCAGCTGGAGAAGGTGCCGCAGCGTTCGGGACGGATCGCACCGGCCCTGCGGGTACAGCCTTCCCATTCCCCCCAATCCCGAACACCGGGATGTCCCTCTGCAGGGCAGCCAGCAGAGACCCCTTCCAATGGGCTACCCCATCCCGCAGCCAGGGATGAACCAAGCACGGGAAGCAGCCGCTCCTTGGAGTTTCCATCCTAAGGATGCTGGGAGAGCGCCTGGATTCCCCTGGCTCTGTGACCGAGGGCGGAGGGGACACAAGTGCCTGTGGCCACAGAGCCACCGTGCGGCCCCTCAGCTGAGCCCGCACCAGGGCATGAGCTCCAAATCACCTCCGCAAACTCCTGTTTTTCCCCAATTTCCCCCAGATTTAAGCACGGATAGAGGAGCCAGCCAGGTGGGGCTCAGTCTCCCGGACCTGCAGATCTAGGAGAAATTCCATCCTCTTCCCGAGCGCGCAGCCGGATCCAGCTGGGAGCAGAGCAGCAAGGCCCTGGACGTCGAGGCAGCAGCTACGGAGCCGTGGGAAGCAGGAGACCCAGCGCAAGGCCCTAGGATCTCGGTGCTTCCCACTCGCTCCCAGCGCTCCCGCTTGCTCCTTCCAGTGCCTGTGTTCACATGCGGATCCTTCGGATCCCGACGCCGGGCACTAAGCGGCCGAGCAGCCGCCAGCGCGAGGCTCCGAACGAGCGTTCCCACTGGGGGAACCTCCTTCCCGGCAGGTCGGACCCTCCGGCAGGGCCGATCCCGTCCTCCCCGGGATGCGGAGCGCGGAGCTGAGGCCGGCGGGTGCCTCTAGAGGGAAACCTCCGCCTGCGGCTTCTCTGCAGCATCAAACGCTGACTCACCCTCCTCCTCCTCCTCCCGGAGCCCATGGTGCAGCCAAAATAAATCCCGGGCACCTTCCTGGCCGCGGTTGCTCATTTGGCAGCGGCTCCCAGGCGCCTCTGAGCCTCTTAGCAGAAGAAAAAGAAATAAATCCAACTGCTGAGCAGCCCCCGATGGAAAATCGATAGGGAAGAGCTGGTTCCAGGGTGCTTCTCCCTCGGGATGGCAGTCCTGGCCCCAGGCTCCGGTCTGGTGTGGGATAAAGTGAAGGGTGGAGGGAGGGCGGGGAGGCAGGGCTGGAATCTGGTGCCGAGGCCAAGCTGTGCGGATGCTCCAGCGGAAAATCCCTGCTGGGGCAGGAACTAGCAGAGGCCGGCAGGCGGCAGGGCCGTGTCCCGGCAGGGATTTGCAAGGAAAGCTTGGGGATAAGGAGCCCGGTGCGGTTCTGCTGGAGGGGGGGAAGCCGAAGGACCCGCAGCACCCCTGGAGCCCCGCGGGAATCGGGAGTTTCCTCCCGGCCCGAGGTAGCTACGGAAATTTGTGCAGAAAGGGGATGGGGAGGGAGCCATACGGCAGCCTGGGATGTTCGTTCCAGGGGCTGGGAACCACAGCTGGAAGGAATCGGTGATTTGGGAGCTTTTAAATAGGAAACTCGATGGTCAGGGCAGGGGTTTTGGCTATTTAATAGTGCAAGAACTGCAAAAACTGCCCTGCTTTCTCCTCCTGCTCAGCTCCCGCACAGATCCCTCTCCCGGCCGCTCCGGGAGGATCTTGGCGCCGCTTCTCCCAGTGGAGCAGATCCTCTGTCCTCGCTCTGGGCCCTGGACTCAGAGGACACTGCAACGGGGCGAATCCAAGGAGCGAGAGCCTGAGACCGGAGCAGCCCTCACGTGGGGACAACGTTCCCGGTGCAGCCCTCTGCCCTCGTGCCCCGTGCGAGAGGCAGCCCCGTTATCACCCCGGTGCAGGAAACGGGCCCCGCGGCGCCCCGATAACGCGGTCGGAAACGCCAGGAACGGCCCAGCCGACTGCTCCAGCCCCAGAGCAGATAACGCGGCCGAGCTCCTTCCTCGCCGACAGCCCTGGAAACAGCAGCCCCCCGAGGAGCCTGTCCCCATGTCTGGTGGGGTCGACCAAACAAAAACCCCCCAAAACCCTGTGTTTCAGGAACAGAGACCCTGGGATTCAGGGACAGAGCATTACTGGAAAGCTGAAGTCGAGACCGGCCTCGAGAGCGTCGCTTCCTTATTTTCGAGGGGGCAGTTTCTCAAGAGCGAGTTAAGCACCAGCTCTGCCTTGGCTGCCAGCTAATTTAAACCTTCACCATGAGGAATCGGCCTAATTAGGGCTCTTTTAACTAATTACAGGCCGGGTTTCGCTGTGTCACACTGGCCCCCAGCGATCGCCTGCGGGTCAGACCAAACCCAGGCGGGATGGGCAGCGTCGTCAGCTGCTGGGAGCGGAAAATTGAAGTTTTCCTGGATCTGGAGAGTGGAAAGGGGGAAAAAACCTAATCCTCTGCATGGAGAAGCCGAAGAGGAGGTGGAAACCTGCCCCGCTGGGAGGCTGGTTACCCTGTGGCTGGGATGTCGTGCGCGTCCCTCCGAGCAGCTGCTGCTCCCGGCTCCTCGCTTACATCGGAGCAGCGTTTTACGAGGAATTTTCTTTAGCTCGTGCAGGAATCCGGTTGAGCTGAACAAACCCTGCGCGTCCTCCTTGTCGGAGGAGACTTGCACTGAAATCTTTCTGCTTAAACGAGGGTAAAGTCAGCCGGGACCAGAAAACCCTGATAACAAACCAAGCCCCTTGCTCCCCCGAGCCCCAGGCTGCGAGTTGCTCCCACCGGCTCTTTTCCTGCCTCCACCCCGTACTCCCGGGCAACCTCTGCACCCGGAGCGGGGCTGCGGGGCCCGAAGCCGAGCGGCTCCGTCCCGCACCAAGGGCAAAGCTCACGCGGAGCCGGCGCGCTCCGCTAATCCCGGGCAGGAAAACAGGCCCGGAACCAGCCCGACCCGTGTGGGATCTGGAGGGATGAATCACCATGTTAAGCTGGAACAATGAGGGATTCGCAATGGGCAGAAGGAGAGGCCGGGGTGGGAGGAGAGCAGAGCAGGGCTGGGGTTAGTGCCTGCAGGACGTCTCGGGTTAGCACAGAGCCGCAGCGCAGGCCGGGCACAGAGGAGGAGACTGTGGGGCGAATGAAGAAGCGCACCCGCCGCCAGGGCATCCCGCCCCGGGTGCCAGGAAGCGCTTCAGCTGACTGAAGGCTCTGCGCATTCCCGCTGCTCTCGGAGGCGGCGGGAGCACTTGGCACGGGGCCAGGTCGGCTGCCGATTCCGGCCTCGCTCCAACCGGCGCGCACGGCCCGGACTCGCCTTGCATTAGCAGCAAGGGGAAGATCCAGGTCTCCCGGCTGCCTGGTTTCTGCTTCACCCTCTCCTCGCTCCGAGAAGGGATGTTTGCCACCAAAGCAGCGTTTCCCCCAGTATTTTCATGGGAGAGCTACAAAGCTCAGCCTGCCGCGGGCGCAGGGGACCCGCTGGGAGCACTTAGCACCACGGGCACCCTCGTGGCTCCGTGCCCCGAGCCCCCTCGCACTGACCTGGGTTTCTGAGGAGGCTCCTGGGGCTCCTTGGATCCAAAGCGGCTGCTGGGCTTTTTCCGTTTGTCTCCTGCCGCTGCTGAGACGGAGGCGTCGTGCGAGGCTCCTGCTTTCTCCCCCTGGCCTTTGCCGCCCGCGTCGCTCCCACCGCCTCCGTGGTGGGAGAGGCTGCCCTTGTCTTTCTTCTCTTCCTTCCTCGCCTCCTCGTTGGGTTTTCCTTGTGTCCCCTCTGCTGGGCAGCCCGTGGGCGCTGCCGCCGGGGCGGGTTTGCCCCCCGCGCGGCTGCTCTCCTCCATCCTGGCTCTGCCCAGATGGTTACTGAGGGTCACGGCTTTCGTGGAGACCTTGAGCTCCTCTTGCAGGGCCAGGCTGGGGGGCGACGGGATGAAGCGGGGCTCGTCCCTGTGCTGCGCCCTGGGGAAGCTGCCGCCTGCCCAGGGCCCCTCGCGGGGGTCGGCATG